TTTATAATAAAATTTATATTGAGCTCTCTTTTGTTAATCAGTTTAAATATTTTCCATGAACAGGATCAACTTGTATTACTTAAAACAAAATATATATATATATATATATATATATATATATATATTTATATATATATATATATATATATATATATATATATATATATATATATATATATATATATATATATATTTTGACATTTGTCTATTTGTTTTCTGAAAGTTTGTTTTGAAAATAATTTCCGATAATGCCATAATTGGAAAAATAAATATAATATTTAATTATTTTAAACACAAATAGATGCTTATGACCCAAAAAATTTTCATCTTTCATTTAAAGGTGAAATCCATGTAGGCATGTTAAATGTAAATTAGATATTATATTCGAACCATAATTTAAGTCAAATATCAATAAATTATAACTATACCTAATTTATTATACACACACATGTACATATATTAGATGAAATTCTCTATATATATATATATATATATATATATATATATATATATATATATATATATATGTAATGGCATTCGCATATCATCAGTGCGACTAGACAACCGAATGCTTCAAACCAGTTATCAGTTGGAGTTTCTACGCCAAGCCATAGAGAAAGTCGAATTCTAACGTATTGTTTTTACGAGTACTGTATTTATTAATGAACAGCGATTTTAATGAATATTTTGAACGAACTTTCGGAGTGCTGCACTGGGTGCTGCACTGGGTGCTGCACGGGGGTTGGACGGTTAAACATTTACGGCTTTTCGAAGCGCTTTCCATCAAGTTTCTTCGACCGACTTTGTGAAGGCGGAAAGAGAACTTTCTTCGTTCTTTGTGTCTCATTGAATAAGGGTTTTGTAAGTCAAACAAATTAAGTTTTATATTCACATGCATCATATTTACACTCATTTGTTGTTTGAGTAATAAATTTATTTTATGCGTGGCTCCTTATTTACCCCACCTCCGCTATGATAACTTTTTTTCAGTTTCGCTATTTCAATTATTGTTATTCCGACGAATCTTTCTGAAGAAGTGTTAAACGAAAAAAGCGTCTTTAAATGAATGCGTTCCATCATATTTCCCCCCCCTATATATATACATACATATATATATATATATATATATATATATATATATATATATATATATATATATATATATATATTGATTGATTGATTCGTTTTTTTACGGATTATCATCCCTTTGTATGTTATTTAAAGCCGGAAAATAATTTTAGATTGTATGAATTTTATTGAGAGAATAATGATTTAGTGATAAAAGTGTTACTAATTAACCCATATTTGGGGGAGAAGAAGTGGATTCATAATTTTACATTTTCCTTTACACACCCGCATTTTACAGCACCTGGTAATCTCAAGCCGTCACCCATCTAGATACTGACCAGAATCAACATTAACTTCGGTGAATCTACGGAAAAATCTAAGATAAGACACGTACGTGTACGTGTACGTGTGTGTGTGTGTGTGTGTGTGTGTGTGTGTGTGTGTGTGTGTGAGTGAATTTTAATACTTTATCTCATTTGATAAGGTTAATTTATGCGTCAGGTTTTCCTCATAATATCTCGCTATTCTTTTATCTTCTTTTTTTCCATTTTGGTGCTCTAAGTCTATGCGATTTGCAAGCCGGGAACACTAGAATCAAGCAGGCGCGGAAGTTTAAATATCTGGGAAGCGTTCTGACAGAGGACGGTTAGTTCGACACTGAGATCCGTAGGCGTACTGTGATGGCCAAGGACGCATTTCAAAAGCTGGGCTGAGTACTGCGAGACAACAGGTTTTCTTTGGTAACAAAGAAAAGGATACTGAGCTGTTGCGTGACATCTGTCCTTCTTTACGGCAGGGAATGTTGGACGATTTCCTGAAAGATGAAGAAGAGACACGAAGCGATGGAGATGTGATTCTACAGAAGGACACTAATGATATCATGGAGCAAGCGTCTGAGCAACGATGATGTCTTAGAGAGGATGCAAACAAGGAGGAGGCTTATAATTAACATTGGGAAGATGCAGCCGAAATTTCTTGGACACATAACGAGGAAGGAGGGCCTAAAGAATCTGATACTCACGGGTCGAATAGAAGGAATGAGACAATTCAATTCAACGCATGATATACCTAACAGGCTTAAGCAAGTGGATGACAAAACATGGTTTGGGGGAGGTGGTAAACGGAAAGAACTTGTTGAGAACTGCAAAGACTAGGCGGCGGTGGAGCGCCATGATCGCCTACGTCCTGAAAGGACATGGCACATAAAAAGAAAGAAAGAAAGAAGTCTGGGTGAGTGGGCGATATTATGGATAATAATGGGTGTGTGTGATGCATAATTTTACACTTTGGAAAGATGTGAAACGACATCACCTCCTCCAACTATGTATTAGTTTGTAAGACCTGTATCGAGAAACCATTATTGTGTAAAAATAAAAATATTTCTCCGACCGTAAATAACATAGTTCATTGATAAGCAGTAAAAACGAATCGATCAGTTTCCTAAAATTATTTTTGTGATATTTTTTATGCTTAAGACTTTTAATATTTGTATTTTTATACGATGTAGCTTTGTGTTAGTGGTAAAGATTTTGTGGATCTCTTGATTGTTTTATACAGAAACCCGCACAAGCCATGCGTTGAACATACACTGTCAGACATGAACCATTTATCTATAAGGCTATACACAATCACTGATGTTTAAATGTGCGTTCCAGTTAAAAGATATATAACTTCCTTAATAAGGAGATCATTTTTCTTCATTCTTAATTAAAATCTTCATTACCAATCTTTAATTACAAATACGATAGAAAAATCAAAAACAATTTGAATAATGTTTAGGTTACGCGAAACTGCCATCGATCTTCGACGCCGAAGAATTCGGACCTGTAATAATCCAGATGATAAATCCTTTCAATCATCGATGGCGATCAATCATTGAGCGTTTCAAAGCCTATCATCAAAGTGAAAACAGTTTACGATTCAATTTCTCTATTATAACGAATCCAACACGATAAATGGTGATTAATTTACAAAAGACAGGGAAAAATAAAAAACAAAAAAACAATGGCCGGCTTACGAAAAGAACCATCACACACAAACACAGATATATATATATATATATATATATATATATATATATATATATATATATATATATATATATGTGTGTGTGTGTGTATATATATATATATATATATATATATATATATATATATATATATATAAAGTAAACATTGACGTCAACACTCAGAGGCGACGGGGTGTTTCATGCTAGACGCAATTGTTAAGCGGCCTGACGATTGCGTCTAACATCAAACTTTTATATTTACATACGCTCTATCTCTAATATTCAGACTTTATCCGAAAAAAATAACAGACCTTTAAGCTATATTTCTTCATATATATATCACAGCGGCAACACACTTTTTCCCTGAAAACTCCTTGTATCTAAGTTCATTTTAAAATTTATAAACATAAATTTTCATCCGTTTAATTTTTTTCTCAACCATCCAACTTACCTACTTTCCTGAGAATTAGTATCCAAAAAGTCGTCCCTCCAAATCACTATCCTGTAATTTCATGCAATTAAATATTTAGAAAACGGACAGTGTTCTGTTATTTTATTAGCTTTTAAGATCTTATATCTTTGCTTTCATCGTGTGTTGTAGATTATTTTCATGTTATCCACAACTCTCCAGAATCTATCTTACATAATTTTTAAGTCCATCATTTGTCCATGCTTTAAATATCTCTGTTACATATGGTGTGTTGCTCCTACAATATATTTATGGATTCTTATTATTGGTCCTAACATGACCTCCCGTCTTCAGTCACTTTCTCGACGGTGTAAATTGCTTCTCTATGATTTTTTTGTAAATACTTTCATGGTAAATTTCCTGATGAAACTACGTCTATGTTACCTAGACTTTATTAATTTAAGCGTAGTGCTAGATTGGTGGCCATGTCTCATCAGTTTAGTTTAATTGGCTTGATATAACCATGAGGTCTTATGAGTAGAATTCATACTAAATATGTGTAAATTGTAGGACAGACTAGGTTCTATAGCCTTGGATGGCAACCGGTCTAGGAAAAGAAAAATCTCTGAATTCAAAACTGTATGTAGTCTTGGCGAAGTACATACTATGCAGTTAAGCGCTGCATCTTTCGCAGTGACTTGATGATCTTTACATTAGTAAGCGTTTTTTTATCGCGCTTATTTTCCGCCATTTTTTTTCAAATTTCTAATTGCAATATCAAACGTTGACTACTGTCCTCTTATATTCTGTTCTTCTTTTGCTCTCTCTCTCTCTCTCTCTCTCTCTCTCTCTCTCTCTCTCTCTCTCTCTCCTTAATAATGTTTGCCGTTTTTTATTCTTTCACACTCAGTAAACTCTGGTTTCTTAGCGGTTTTATTGCCTTGCTTGACGTGAAATGATTAAAACATCTCTGTCTCATTAAAAGAAAACATATTGAAAATGTAGAAGAGAGAAATAAAAAATTAAAAATACACTAAAATTAAACGAAAGATAAAAAATTAAACGAATGAATAAAAAAATTAAACAAATAGTTCTTGTCGTTTAAATTGAATAAAAGTTGTTTGTATGAATATTTGTTGCCTAAATATACATTATATATGTTTGTATATATTCTGATTACTCAGATCATAGTCACGCATGCGCAGTTACAATGTTCTGAGACAGCCATATACAAAAGCACCGTATACGCATGGACGGAAACGCCTTTTGTGCAAATTAAGGTCAAAAGATAATTAAACATTGCTCTGTCAGTTAATTAGTAACGTTTTGTTTTTGTTTTTAATTTTCGAAAGTGCTTGGTAAATGATTTAGTGACGTCACAGCGTTTGCAGAAAACGAACGCGATGACCCAGTACACTGAGTAACATTATTTGGCATCGATATACTAGGGGAAATGTTAATCCGTTCACGAATATACGAACCCTTGTGTTGGGGGAGACCGGTTTTCAAGCTATATTATTTATTAAGCGTCGATGATGAAAGTAGTCTAATTAGATTGTGAATTGAAACAAGAGAATTCCCCGAACAAATCTCTTCTTGAAAGAGTCTAAAAATATATCGAAATTTATAGAGCCATCTGGGACGGGAGAAAAAAAAAAAGAAAAGAAAGAAAGAAAGAAAGAAAGAAAGAAAGAAAGAAAGAAAGAAAGAACAAGAGGTGGACAAAAAATAAAGTGAAAAGAAAGAAACGTTGAAAAATATAGTGAAATAAAAAATAAAAGATTTAATGATAAAACTGAAAGAAAGAAAGAAAGAAGAAGAAGAGGTGCGAAAAAAGAAATAAAGTGGAAAAGAAAGAAACTTTGAAAAATATATTGAAATAAGAACAATAATAAAAGACTGATTGAATGATAAAACTGAAAGAAAGAAAGAAAGAAAAAAAGAAAGAAAGAAAGAAAAGCAGTGGGCAATTAAAAAAAGGTAAAAGGAAAGAAATACCGAAAATTGACTGAATAAGAAACATAATCTAGGAGGAGTCAGAGAAAAAAAAATGAATAAAACAAAAAAAAAGGATGAATCAAACAAACAAAGAAACAAATATCCAGACTAACAAGCAATCAAAGACATCCTGTTAAAAAAGAAAGAATCGTTGGAAAAAAAAAACTTAATGAAGAGGAAGAATAACAGACTGAATAAAAGTAACGGAAAAATATAAAACTGAAAGAAAGAAAGAAAGAAATAATGAATGAAAAGAGAAAAAAAAATGAAAGAAACTTAAAGATCCATAAATAAAGAAAATGGAACGATACGTAATATGTAAAACATAAAACAAATAAATCAAAAATAAAGAAAAAAGAAAAAAGCTATAACAAATTAAGAAAGAAAGAAAAAAGGAAGATGAATGAAAATGCACAGAAAGCAAGCGGAATAAACAAAATATAAATTAACAATTGACAAAAAAAAACAAGAAGTAAAGATAGACACAACAACACATAGGGAAAATAAAGAAATACGCTGATGCTAATATTAGCAGTTTTATTATAAGGAAACATATGGCAGTCATTGCAAGTAGACAATACTGCTTTTGGTTAAAATGAATATAATCACATTCGTAAAATTTTTTTTCAACAAAATCTGCTTCTCCAATCATGTCTTTGCAGTATGGATGGGCGTTTCCTCTTTGTTTGGCCTATTGTGTAACATTTGCATCTTGATTTTGTCATTATTTTCTCTCCGAGTTAAATGAGATATCCATTTCTTTTAGTTACTGCCGTTGGTAGTCCTCATTCAGATACTGTTTTCTGGTATAATTGTTTTGCATTTAGTTCTGTAACTTCAGGTCTACGAGTTTCGAAAGAGGAGAGTCTCCCTCTCTTTGTTTCTTTCTTAGAGATACAATACAATTCCTTCGTGGTCAGCGATATTGTCTTTTTTTTTTCGTCACACTTGCCAAAAAAACAAGGGTTATTAAAATTACTTTAATGGGCTTGGCCTATCTAGTTGAGTGCGTTTTAATATAGTTGTACGTGGAATTTGATTATTACAATTTAGGCGAATTTTCCATTTGAAAAACAAGGCTAAATTTCAATTGGAAAAGGTAAGGTTAATTTTCCATTTGAAAATGTAAGGCGAAATTTCAACTTGAAAAGGTAAGGGTAATTTTCTGTTTGAAAATATTAGGCTAAATTTCAATTTGAAAAGTTAAGTTTAATTTTCCATTTGAAAAACAAGGTTTAATTTCAATTTGAAAAAATAAGGTTAATTTTCTATTTGAAAATGTAAGGCTAAATTTCAATTTGAAAAAGTAAGAAGCATTTTCAAATTGAAAAAAATGAAGCTAAATTTCCATTGGAAAAATCAGGATAAACTTTCATTTGAAAAAGCAAGTCTAAATTTATAAGTCTGATTAATATGCATTTGAAAAAATAAATCTAAATTTTCATTTGAAGAAGTAGGTTAATTTTCCATTTGAAAAGGTCAATCTAAATTTTCATTTAAAAAAGTGTGGCTAAATTTACATTTAAAAAGATAAAGCAACTTATCATTTGAAAGAGTATAAATTTTCATTTGAAAACGTATTCCTAAATTTTCATTTGAAAAAGTAATGCTAATTTTCCATTAGAAAACGTGGTGCTTAATTTCCCCTTTAGACTTTAAATTTATATTCATACAAATAAGTACCAAAAATAGTCTAAATTCGAAAGGAGAAAAATGTTTTTATTTTATATCATGGCTTTTCGTATACATAGATAATAATATATTCCATAAAAAAGTGTTATGAATAAAAGAAAAAAGAACACTTCTAATCAGAAAGATTGTTAAAATCCGAATTCATATAATGAGGAAAGAGGACTTAAGGAATTTGACATTTGGAAAATTCTAAAATTATAAATGAATGACCAAAGATGGACTAAGAAAGATAACGAAAATCTACCACTAATTATTCAATAGATAAGAATTTGTGGAGAGCTATGATCGCCCATATCATGAATGAACACAACACACAAAAAATACGAGTTAATCTATCGTGACCCGCTGTAGCTTGATAGTTAATAAGCCAGAATAGGTTCACCTATCATCCTGTTCCCACTACTCCCCGGTCTTTTGAGCAAGAGTAGATGTTTATCCCTTGTTCTCTGTTTAGGATTGCGTTTCCGGTTTCTTGGTTTTTTTTTTTTCCTTCTTTCACTTTCACTTCCAGTGGTCTTTGCGTCTTAGTGGCATTATCGCTTTACATGGGGTGAAAGTAATAATAGGAATATGCCTGTATGTTAACCTTAGACAAACATCCAGTGTTCTTCAAGATTGTCAGGCAAAGATAGAAATTCCAGTCGGTCCTGCAATTAAAAGACCTGCAATTAATCCCTATCTGGATTAAATTTAGATGTATTCTCACATTTACCAAAGGTATTTGTACGAAATTTGTAAAAATTGCTATGCCCAACCATTATTTATGTAATGAGATCATCCAAAAAGATACAAGAGGCAATGGATTAGAAACTATTTATGTATTCTATGGGAGTTCCTTAACACCATAGCAGCAGATATGAGCTTCGTGTTCATGGATGTAAAAGCATACTTGACAGAAAATAAAACGTTTTGAGATAGCAAGAAAAGCATGTTAATTCCATACAATTTATTTATATTTTTGTTGTGTGTTGGTGTGTGTATTTTTAAGGTTACATTTGTTTTATGGCACATGTGATAAAAGGGAGAAATTACTCCGTATTGTTATACGCCATATCACAGAGAAAATTTGGACACGTGTTGACCGTAACAAGGGTTGTGGTGAAGAGATTGAACTTAACGACTTTCGGCGGGATATCAGTATTTCCGGCAGTTTATTTATTTTTTTTTTTTTGTATGCTGGGTGTATTTTTTTTTATTTCATTCATTTTAAACAACTTTTTTTGTCATAGTTTTATTTTATTTATAATTTACGTATTAATTTTTAATTTTCTTGTGGCCTGTTTAGGGACCAGAAAGGAAGACACGGAAGACGAAGGTAGGATTGAGCAAGTGTATTGATATAACGGATATATTCAAAGCAAAAGTGTTAGTAATAAGCAGATAGACGTGTACGTCCGAACGGTAGGTTAACACTTCGTCTCCGCTATATTTAACAGCACCCTCCACATGGGTTGTATGTGGCACAAAGCCGTTTTTACCGTGGGTTCTCCGAGCCCGTAGGCTCGGTCAAAAATATTCCCTTAGAACCCGTATAAACGGGTTCAGGGCCTGTCTACCTTCGGTATAGCTTCGTCCGTGTTTCCTCTGCCAATGCAGATAGTTCGACAGAAGTCGCACACGGTCAGAGACTGCGTCTCCGCGTCCCAACCGACTCATGCAATTAGTATTTATGAGAGGAGGAAGAGTTCATTCTACTGTAGGACGGTTTGCAACCACATAATTTATATTTTATTTTAATTATAATAATAATAATCAAAATAATAAAAACTTTCCTATAATTCCTTAACAACATCTGAAACAAATAAATGTTTGTTTAAAAGGTAAAATGAGCATTGAAAAATTGGATAGAATTAGAGATATTAAACAAAGAAAAGGCTACTTAATTATTATGTAATATCTGCCCTCGTATAATGCAGGGAATGCTGGACAATCTCCTTACAGTTGAAAAAGTGTCTTCAACGCAAATGCGGTTCTACAGAAGGATACTGAGAATACAATGGCCTGAAAATGTAAGTAACGACGAAGATTTAGAGAAAATAGGAACTGAAAGAACTTGTTTTAGTTAATACCTGGAAATACTGTTTTAGAACACATTAGAAAGTCGTGACCGGAATAATTTGATACTCACTGGATAGATTATAAGAAAAAGAGCAAATACTGCATAACCTACCTAGAGAGCTTAGATAAGCGCAGCAAGTTTTTGGAGAGATAACAATGCTATTAATATTATTAAGATTATCTTCATAATAATATAATCTTTCCCCGAAAGATTATCTTCATAGATTCTAGTATTTGTTTGATTAGTACTATTATTGCTTTGTTCTTTTACTTTCTTTTGTTTATTGGAAACTTTGTCTATTCTCTTTATAGGCCATTTCTGAAAATTACTCTTAACCATGGCCAATTACTCTATGATTATTAAGGAAACGAGTAAGGGAAGATTATGTAATATTGATAATAATTGAAGAACCTCCTGGATATGACGATAAACTACATCTGGCAGCGAGGACTCTAATCGGGAGGTTTTGAAGAGAGGAGATCACCTTTTAATTGCTATTGTTCCCAGGTTCACTCTGGTCATTGGTAATAAAGGTTAAAAAAAAAAAAAAAAAAATATGAAAAAAAAAAATACATTTTTATATTAAAAAAATACCAGCAATACATTTTTGCATAGAAAATTAATAATGCACCCAATAAAGTTTAATTTCAGGATTAAATGAAACATAAGGAGTCGATATGCCGCTAAACAAACAAACAAATGCATTGAAGAGGTTAAAATTGTGTTTTGATTAATCTCTTTAAATTTTCTATAAAAGAATTTATTCGATCTGTTGGGGATATATAATTAATTTGACGTTAATGGTCATTATTCGACCATATTCTTAGTGCATGTTGTAATGGAATATTGTCCATATTGGCGGAATTAAAAATTCAGATTACCTCCCCAATTTTTCCAAGAATTCATAATAGAATAGAGATAGGCTCACGAAGATTCGTCTAAACTTTCTAAAAACGTCCAAATGATTGATTTCTTTCTCAAGTGTATTTGATCGATTTCAAAATTTTAAAATTATGTAATTGGAAATTTATCGTGAATTTTCTCTGATTGAACCGATGGCGCACAACTATTCACATTACTTTATATTATTTAAAAAATTTAAATTAAATTTAATAGATATTTGCTGGTATGAAAAAATATATGGAATCATACATGAAATTAAACCGACAGTCAGAAACTTATCCAAATCACGAAGGTTTAGTTTTAAAATTTCCATTTCTGAATTTCAAAATATAAAAATTCGTTATCCAAACGTTTAGAAAACTGGAATATTGAAAATTCAACAAAGATAGCAAGCCTTTTAATTAGTTTAAAAGAAATTGTTTATTTTTAAAAAAAAAAAACTATCAGTATCAATTCAAAACAGATTAAAGAGACGCTGTAAGAGATGGTCTTCTAAAGTTTGTCATAAATATGTGTTTAAAGTCAACTCTATCGATTCGATATTATTATGCATGGCGAAATAGCACCGTTTCGTCTCAAAATTGAAATCTATAAAATATAAAATTACAAGTTGTACACTGAGATTGAAAAAAAAATTTTTCAACATAATTGTTGAAACTATTGGACATTTTGATATATCGATGGAGTCTCTCTTCACGCTAGGAAAATGTAAGTGGTGGACGGGCGGGGATTGGAAGGTTTTATGGAGCAAGGCTTGATAATGGCCCGTTAGTTGGTATAAATCAGTGTTCTCTTTTAAGAAAACAAGATTTTTTTTCTTCTTCTTAGATTTTTTTCTTTGT